GAGGGGAGAGAGAGACATCGATGTGAGACACACCGATAGGTTGCCTCCAGCCCACAAGGGGATGGAACCTGCAACCCTTCATGTGCGCAGCTAGGTTCTAACCGCTGAGCAATACGGGCCAGTGCCTTTTTTTAAGAATAGGAGAAAGCCAAACAATTCTGAATAATGATGAAAAGGACTCAATAGAGAGAAAGGTTGAAAATGAACTAGAAACAGTGAGTAACCCAGGAGAAAGGGTTGCGAGTCCTTGGTGGACGCCGAGGATGGGAACTGGAGCTCTTAGGAAAGGGCTGGTCTCTCTGGTAGGGACATCTCCCTCACCAAGCAGGAGTCACGTCCAGTCACCCTCTAGATCACCTGTATCTCCAAGTTGCTTACAATTTGTCCCTTCCTCATCATCTCAACTGCTCGAGCCTTAATTCAAGTCCTTATTATCACCTGCCTGGATTATTTCAAAAGCTTCCCTGCTAGTGGGTCGCTCCAACCCCTCTGCAGCCTCGCTCGTGTCCCCCTCCCCGCCTCTTCCACTTCCTGGAACGCAGTGAGCTCCATCCTTCCCGGGAACTTGCCCTTTCCCAGAATATCCATCTTTCCCCCATATTCCCCGGTCTTTGCCTAATTCCTACGGTTGCTTTAAGCTTAGCTCCGGCAGCGCCACTTCCTCTGGGGACACCCACCCCTACCCCGGAGCTGCGTCCCTGAAGACAGCGTAAAGCCCAAGGCCAAGTTCCCACCGGGTTATACCCGAAGAATTACCTCCTACGCTGTGCCCGGAGTCGCGCTACCCAACGGTCCCAGGGGCGTGGCTCCGGCCAATCCGGAAGGCGAGCAAGACGGCGATAACCAATAGGCTCCCAGAGCGCTCCGAGTCCCCTGGTCCGCGCCAGACCCGGGAGGTCTGAACGGAACTCCGACCCGTCAGCGACTTCCGGAGGCTAGGGCCTGCCCCTACCAGACATCGCGTCTGTCGCGCCAGGAGACAAAGCGGAAGTCCTTCCTACCCACAGGCTACTCCAGCGAGGGACGTGCGGTGTCATGGCTGCCGACAGTGACGATGGCGCAGCCTCAGCTCCAGCGGTCTCTGACGGTGAGTGGCTTTTTAGGGGCCGCCTGAAAAGCCTGTACGCCCCGGGGGAAGGGAAGGCCTCAGGTTCATAGTTCTAGGAACCCACCTCGAGTTTCAGAGGACTAGCTTCTTCCTTCTGAACCAGCCACGAGGAGACTACAAATCCCAGTGTGCACCGCGGCTGGGGCTGCAAAATCTTGGAGTTAGGTGCGTAGCTAGGGTTGGTGGGGGCATGTCGGGAGCTGTAGTCTGGAACTCGCTGCTTTTAAGTGGGGCAGGTTGGGAGCTGTGGTCCAAAGGAAGTGGGATGTATTGGGAGCCCAGCTGTGGGTTATTACTTATCTCTCGGGCATTATTAGTCTCTGGGGCATACAGGCTACTGCCACTTGTGGCTGCTAGGGCACCCTGAGAACCACAGTAGTGTGGAGCCTGATGGAATATTAAAGGAGCTGAACACCTCAGCCGTAACAAATAGTTACTGCAGAACATGGGAAAAAGGAATCTTACAGATCATCTAGATAGTGATGCTGAGGGAGAAATGATTTTCCTAGTCTCACATAAGCCACTGGAAGACCCAGGCTTTCCCCAAATTCAGGATACCTTTCATTCCAAGGCCTGTGTGTAGAGCATGCTGATAAAATGGCTTGAGGGGAAAGCTGCCAGTTTCTTGCCAGAATGAAAAATGCCCCCAAGCCATGGCCTGGCTTGGTATCTGCCCGACCCTTGCCTGAGCATTAACTTCCATCATCCTGTCCTCCTTATCCCCAGCCGGTATCAGCAAAAGCACAAAACCTGGGGAGGAGCTGGTAGTCCAGGTTCCAGTGGTGGATGTGCAAAGTGACAACTTTAAGGAGATGTGGCCATCCCTTCTGCTGGCCATAAAGACAGCTAGCTTCGTGGCTGTGGACACGGTGAGGGTTGGGGAATGGGAAGGGCAGGTGGTTGTGAAAGGGCTGATGTTGGGCCTCTAACTCAGCGCTCCCTTTACCCACCCATAGGAACTGAGTGGGCTTGGGGACAGGAAGAGTTTGCTGAACCAGTAAGTATAAGCTGTGATCTCTTTAGTTCCAGCCTTGATCGAGGGGGAGGGGGGAGCAGACCTTAACCCTGGAGTGGAGGTCATGGTCCTGGGTGGTTTGGGTCCTCCAGTGAGGCTAACTCAGCCACAGCCACCCCCAAACCCAAACCCAAGGTGCGTTGAAGAACGTTATAAGGCCGTGTGTCATGCTGCCAGGACCCGTTCTATTCTCTCCCTGGGCCTCGCCTGCTTCAAGCAGCAGCCAGACAAGGTATGGGCTGGTTTCAACCCCTCCCAGGTTTGTGGCTGAGGGGAGGAGGGGGGTTGAGATTCTGGGGAACATCACGTGTGAGGTTTTGATATAGCAGACCCTCTTTCTCTCCCAGGGTGAACACTCATACCTGACCCAGGTGTTCAATCTGACCCTGCTGTGCATGGAAGAGTATGTCATAGAACCAAAGTCTGTGCAGTTCCTGGTACAGCATGGCTTCGACTTCAACAGGCAGTATGCCCAGGGTATCCTGTACCACAAGGGCAACGACAAGGTAGGGGTGTGTGTGGGAGGCAACCAATCTATGTGTCTCTCTCCAACCTTGAGACTGACTTTTCTGTGACTTTATTTTCTTCCTACACTAGACTGGATGTGTGGGGAGGATCTGCTTCTTAGGGAGAATGGGGAATCACTAGTGACAGGGCTGGGGAAACAAGACTAATGCATGGGTGAATAGCATTGGGTTAGGCAGGGAGGGAGGGCTTTCTAGGTTGAGGAACTTGGGATAAATACACTGTAAAAGAGGCTCCCTAGGGGACTCTGTTCTTCCCGATAACCCCTTTCTTTCCATCCAGGGTGATGAGAGCCAGAGCCAGTCAGTGAGGACACTGTTCCTGGAGCTAATCCGGGCCCGCCGGCCCCTGATACTGCACAATGGTCTTATAGACTTAGTGTTCCTGTACCAGAATTTCTATGCACACCTGCCTGAGAGCTTGGGAACCTTCACTGCTGACCTATGTGAAATGTTCCCAGCTGGGATTTATGACACCAAATATGCTGCTGAGTTTCATGCCCGCTTTGTGGCCTCCTACCTAGAATATGCCTTCCGGAAATGGTGAGGGACTGGTTGAGGGAAAGGGGTGGGGCCTGGTATAAACCTGACTGTTTCATTCATTTAAGATATTTATTGCCCTAGCCAGTTTTGCTCAGTGGTTAGAGCCTCCACCTACAGACTGGAGGGTCCCAGGTTCGATTCCAGCCAAGGGCACATACCTCAGTTGCAGGCTCAATCCCACGCCCCAGTAGGGGTGTGTGTGGGAGGCAACCAATCTATGTGTCTCTCTCACATCAATGTTCCACTCACTGTCTCCCCCTTCCACTGTCTCTGAAAAGCAATGGAAAAAATTTCCTCAGGATTTTAAAAAAAAGATTTTTATTGAGCACCAGCCATGTGCCAGGCACGGTTTTAGGTGCTGAGGATTCAGTAACAAAACAGACAAAAAACCCTGTTCTAATGGAGCTCTTATGGTAGCGGACCAATATCCTCTTATGCTGTTACAGTGAGCGGGAAAATGCGAAGCAGCGGGCAGCTGGCAGCCCACACCTTATCCTGGAGTTCTGCAACTATCCTTCTAGCATGAAAGCCCATGTAGACTACCGCTGCTGTATGCCCCCTGCAACCCACCATCCTCATTCCACCAGTGTCTGTGATAACTTCTCGGTGAGAGCACCCACCCATTTCCTGGGGGAGGGGAGATTCTGATACCTGGAACCCCTCTCTAAGTTTCTTTCCTACCTCTAGGCCTATGGCTGGTGCCCCCTGGGATCACAGTGTCCTCGGTCCCATGATATTGACCTTATCATTGACACTGATGAAGCTGCCACGAAGGACAAGCGGCGACGTCGACGGCGTAAGGAAAAACGACGGAGGGCTTTGTTGGGCCTGCCTGGGAAACAGACCTCTGGGGAAGCTGAGGATGGTCCTCCCACTAAGCAGGTCTGTGGGGATGGCCTCAAGGCTGAGGAAACTGAGCAGGAAGTGACCGAGGATGAGACTAGCAACCAGCCTGGCTCTGAGCAAGGGCACAAAAATGACTCGGAGATGGGACTTAAAGCAACAAGGCCTGAAACAGCTGATGTGGCTGCCTTAGAAGCACCAGGGAGTCAAGCCAGTCCTAAGCCAGTGCCTGGGGATGGATTGCATCGGGCTGGTTTTGACGCCTTTATGACAGGTTTCGTAATGGCCTATGTGGGAGTGAGCCAAGAACCCCAGCCCTGTAGCTCTGGACCCTGGCTACCTGAATGCCACAATAAGGTATATCTGAGTGGCAAAGCTGTTCCCCTCACAGTGGCCAAGAGCCAGTTCTCCCGTTCCTCCAAAGCCCACAACCAGAAGATGAAGCTGGCTTGGGGCAGCAGCTGATCTAACTTGTACCTGGCACCCAGAGCCTAAGAAGAGAAGCTGAGGGTGGAATAGAGGGGTCTGGGTCCCTCTAGCCTGTGAATGTCCTACTCCGAACTACTACAGAGTTGGGGAGAAGAGCTTCTGACAGAGATACTGCTGTATTGCTCCTGGACTTTCTTTACCCCAGAGGCTGGGAAACAATGATATAAGATGGCTGACCAGCACCTGTAATAACCAACTTTATTTTTAAGTCTGAGAGTGTTTTGGGGAAGTTTTACCCCAAAAATCACTAGAAACAAGTTATGAAAATGTTTGACCAGCTTTATCTTTGGTTATTTCTTATTGCGACACTATAAAGACAGACTGTTCCCATAGCTCCAGCCATAGCAGGAAGGGAAGAAAATCAGTCCATGTATAAACCGTTTAACCAATTGGGTGTATCACATGTTGACAAATACACAGAGCAGGCCCTAGGGCCTACGAAACCAGCCCCACTCCCAACCACAAGGTTGAAAGTCTTATGGGGCAGAACATTAAGACTGCTTCATAAATATGAAAATAGGTTAATCAACTGGAAAAGATCTCTGAATAGGTTAGCTAAGAGCCATGACCACCACGCTGCCTTGCCCTCCCCTTGCATAGAAATGTAGTGATGTGGTCTGACTGTGCAGTAAGTGCAAACAGCAATTATTCAAGTGTCTTAGACATACTGGCAAGAAGCACCCCAGTCTTCAGGTCTGAGAAATTGTCATGCCCTTTACGGTCAGCTCCAGGTTCCATCCAGTAGCTTATATGCCCCATGAAAGGGCAAGAGACAGACCTGGGTGGAAGAAGAACCTGGGATAATAGCTGCGTGCCAGCTCAAACTAGAACTAGGAGTCCTCTGGTCCTGTCTGCAGAAGTGCACTGGGGGGTCAGGTGGGAGCCAGAGCTCCTTGCAGGATTTCAGAGGCTTGGTACCAACTGTTGGCCCTAACAAGGAAGGCCTCTCACTGCTGCCTTCCCTCTCACAGCCACTGGGCACTGGGAGTCCCAAAGTTGAGTCAGGCTTGGCCTAGCCTGCCTGCTCTGTAGGCCCCAGGGGAGAGTCAAAGCTGTGCACCAAGGGGGCCCTGTGGCTTCAGCTGAAGGTCCATCCTCAGTGAGGCAGGGATTAACCCCTCTCACCCATCCTGCTCTCCCTGGGTTTTCAGGCCTACGCCTGAGACAGACAAGGAGACTGGAGCCAAGCCTCTTGGCCTTTCTTCTTCTACCTCCATCTCCTCAGAGGAACCTGCAAGGCATGAACTGGCCCCCTGAGGCCTGGGCCCGAAACCGTTTTCTTCCTGGGGACTGGAGCAGTCCATGGCTTCATGGGCTGGAGCGGCTGGTGGGGCAGATGCTCGGAATGGTGGGATCTCTCTTACTTTGTACTTGAGACTACTGAGACGTGGTGGGGGCCCATCAGAGAGTGATTCTTCTCGGCCTACAAATGGACAGGCCTCTTGATGAAAGAACTCTGGTGAACCAGGCAAAGAACGCCACCGGCGAGCAGGTGGGGCCAGGGGTTCCTGCCAATCAGCCACAGGCAAAGTTCCAGGCCCTGGTGCATCCAGGTCAAATACCAGGGAGATAACAGACTTGCTGGGCAGGTCAAAGAACTTGACCTTGCCACCCTTGAGGTCCTGGCGAGCACTGAAAGGATTGATTTTGGGGGTGCTAGCAGCACCACCTCGTGGCCGGTAGTAGGGGTCCAAGACATTCACTGTACGTGGAGGCTTACGGGAGAAGATGTCTGACTGGCTTCGAGACAGCCAGATAGTACGTCTTGGGCGTGGGGACTTGGGAGGGATCTTCTCATCCAGTGAGCTCAGTCGCTTCACCCCAGATCCTTTCTCCAGGAGTCCTGAAGAACAGTACATCAAGTCAGGGTTACTTCACCAGTCAACAAATAGAAGCACTACACAAAGTGTTTTTACTTAGGAGGGCAAAGTAGGTACCGTTTTTGACCAGTGAGAAAACAGAAGGAAGACAGTATACCAAGTCACAACTCTTGGAGTACAGTACTTTTTCCATTGTCCCCTGCCCCTGCCCCTGCCCCTGCCCCTGCCCCTTTGGGACATAGCATCCTGCCCTCACAGTCCTAGAGGGAAAGACCCCACAACCCTCATCTTTTACCCTTACCTGTGGGCTGCAGCTCTTCCTCCTGTAGGTGGCTCAGAATTTCCTCCAGGGTCTTTCCAATCTCCACAAAGGACGGGCGCAGTTTGGGGTCCATCTGTAGTCATCCACAACAGCCATTAGCCCTGCCTTCCTACCTTCCACCCCAAGGACAGCATTTTAGTCTGTTTCTAGCATCTTTTATGACTCAGGTGTACAGCTAAGAGATCTTTTCTGAAGGCCACAGACCACGAGGATGATTCCCAGAGCTAAGGTCAGGGAAGATGCTATTGTTTAATACCCTCCCCTATCTCAGCGTCCTTTCTGTGTCTTATCCCCTTGTTTGGCACAGAACCCTCCAAAAGGTTATGTTCACATTGGTTTGTTCTGTTCTTATCTTAAGTCCTGCTGCTAATGTTTCTTGAAGCTACCTAGACAAAGTCCAGCTACTCCTTGGTAATAACTGGTAGGTCCAGCCACAGAGCTATGTAAAATGAAAGCTAACAAGAGCCTTTCCCATCAGCCTTAGGACCAGCTGGATCTACAGTCTAACTAAAACCTGACCAGACCTCCACTAACATCCAAGGCAAGGGGTGGTGGGTCTACCCTGCAGGCTAAGGATCAGATATTACAAAGCAATTTTCCTTTCCTTGGTCCAGGGCTCTTGAAAGTCTGGCAGGTCTCCAGAGGAGGATACATGGAACTAATTCATCTGAAAATGAGGCCCCTCATGAGGCTAACTAGCAGGCTCTTCCTACAGTTCTAACCAGGTGAACCCAGCCCCTGACTAAAGCTGGGGGTGAGGGAGACACTCACATTACAGCAGTTGAAGGTAAGCTGCAAAAAGTCTGGGGGACAGTCTCCCACCATGTGCTGGAAAGCGTCATAGTCCAGCCCGAAGTTCTGTGAACGGGTATGGTGGGGAAGGGACAGGGGACATGGGTAGACAAGTCATTAATCCCTCCATGCATCGTGGCCTGCTCAGAAAGAGGCTGGGAATTGCCCAAGAAGTAGCCATACACACTAAGTACCAGCAACTCCACCCCAAGAACAAAACAGTTCCATAGCCTCAAAAGCAGCCTCACCCCAGTGGCACTGATCCCCATGCCTGCAGCTCACCTCTGTGCGGGGAAGATAGTCCGGATCAGCCTGGATGCGGGCGATGATCTCACAGAGGATGATACCATAGGAGAACACGTCCGCCTGTTGGGTAGTGAGACCTCGGTTTTCCTCTCAGTGGGGTGAGAGGTGAAGTTGCTGCCCCTCATGTCCACAAACCCACACCTGGGCCCTACTGCCCATATTTCATTCAGTTCATTCACTGGGTAGCTGCCAGGTACTAGCCCTGCTCTTGGTTGTAGATCCTTACCCTGAACATAAAGGGTGATCCTGGACACTGCTAAGAGTGGGTTCTAAGGACCACCGAGCCTTGGGGTCCCCAGACTCACCTTCTCATTGTAGGGCTCATCTCGGAGAACTTCAGGTGCCATCCAGAAGGGTGAGCCCACCACAGCCAGCTTCTCGCTCCCCATGCTGTGGGATGAGATTATAAGAAAAATGAGCTTGCCACTGGCTGGTACAATGGGATGGCTGAATATTGGGAATTCTTTCCCAAGGATAGCACAGACTAGGACTGACCAAATTTAGGGAGTTGAGGTTGAGCTATGACCAAGTCCTGGTCTCTGGGGAGGAAGGTGGAGTTTTCCTTTTGCCTTAGTCCCTTCTGTAACCCCAGCACCCATTAGGACTACTCACCTGACATCAGGGATCTTCTCAGCCAGGCCAAAGTCAGCTACCACTGCGGAGTAACCATTTTCATCCCTCTTTATCAGGCAGTTCTAGGGTTCCCAAAGAAGAAGACGGTGTGACTCAGAAGTGGAGACCAGCCAGCCATAAAATTACCATGACAGCCATGTGAGATGAGTTAGGCCTGGATCTTGAGTGGCTGCCCTAGGATTCATATTATGCTCCAAACACAAATATTTACCTTTGCTTTCTGTGCTAGGTACGGTTCTAAGTGTCAGAGATACCTCAGTGAACAGAAACCCTTGCCCTCTTGGAGCTAACAGTTTAGTGGAGGAAGACAATCAGGACCCTGGCCTCCCTTCCTCTTTTCCTCGGAATGTAGAGATGAAAGGCCAGGCCTAACCTTGCCAAGAAATGTAAGCATAGAACAAGCACCCAAGCCTACACTTTCACTGCTCACAGGATCACAAATAACCTCCTCTCTGGTATTAAAAGTTTATGATCTGGCTCTAAACCAACTGGCCTACCTCCCCACCCGCTCCCCTCTGCCCCTGGTGCCCCGTTGCACACACCTTCACCCAGACTGGTCACAGACATGCTTGACTTGTGAAACCTGAACAGGCTCTTCAAGCCTTTGCCTTTGCTTACACTGTTCCCTTCCATTCGGAATGTTCTCCCAATTCTCCTTTCACCTCAGAAAATGTTATGAGTTTTAAGGCAAGCTACCTTTCCAGCCCTGTCCTCTCCAGCTCTCACCTTTATTTTTCTCTCATCTCAACTCCTTTAACTCTTCCTCTATGCCACTTCCTCTTACAGTCTAGCAGGCTCTTAGCTCCTCGGGAGCAAGTTCTGGTTCCTCACGGTATTCAACTCATAAGTGAGGCTCAGGTCATGCTCACTAAAATGCTACTGTCTCCAGAGAAAGGATAAACCCGGTTTGTAAATAAATAGAAAGCGGCAACGAACTCTCCCCAAATAGCTGAATTCAAAATAGCCCTTCACCACTGTGGCTCAGGAGGCACCTTGCTCTACCCCACTTCCTCCAGAGGCAGCAGAGAGTAGAGATCCTTGGCTCACAGGGACATTTCTGGGCCAGCAAGGCCCTATCTGACCCAAACCAGCCCTCCCTCCTCCTCACCAGTTTTGGCATCCAGTTGCCAAGGCATTGCCAAGTCACCTCCTGCTTATTCCACATTAGGTAAAAATCAGTCCCTTTACTCTGTCCTTGACGTGATCACACTCTTTTTCCCTGAACTAGAATAAGGCTGTGATTTCATTATACCCTTCCTGCCTTGGATCCCAGGTAGACATGCATCGTCTCTGGCTTTCAAGCAGGACTATCCTTGTGTCTGTCCTGGTGTTGGCCCTCCCATCAGTCCTGCTCGCTCAGTATCCCCCAGCTCGTTGACTTTGAATGTCTTTGGGGCCCTAAGCCAACCTGACTATTAGGAAGCCGAAGCCCAGGCTTAGGGCACTGGCCTATGCGGCAGTGGCAGCTCAGATCTGTCACCTATTTTTCTTCCCTCCTCCTCCTAGTTCACTAACAACTCAGGCTCCTGTCTCCAAGGCCCAGTCTAAAGTCCTGTTCACTATTTGCTTTATAGCCCTCAGAAACAACCTTGTTAAATTCAGCTTGGGAGCAGCAAGTAAGGAATAGTCTGGCTACAGTGCACAGCCTTGTCAAAGCTTTTCAGTTCCTGCTCCATTGTCACATTCACAGAGACCTGTTCATTCACTGCAAACCACCCATTCAAGAGTAAGTGACTTCACAGTAGCTTCTCTGAGCAGCTGAGAAATGGCTAAGGCAGGGATGATCAGAGCCCCACAAAATGGGGCAAGGTGGCATCTACCTCCGGTCTGCAGTGTGACCGCTGCTCCTCTTAAAGCTTCTCTACAGCCAATTAACTGGGCACTAGAGCCAAAGACAAAGATAGGATACTGAAAACCAGAAGAGCCCAACTTCAGGAGTCTGAATCTGAGGTGCTAAGGGAAATGGGGAGGAACCCTGACCAGAATTAGCCCCTGCAGTGTTTCCCAGCAAACTCCTGAGCCTGCCCTTAACAGGGCCCAAGCTAGTGAGGTTTGTCAGGCAACACCTGCTGTTTTTACTTCCTTATCTCCCATTCATTCTTTTGTTTTTCTTCTAAGTTCATATCAGAAGGGAAATATGCTGAAGTCATAACAAGATTTGTGGGAGGCACATCTCACAAAGAGCGCGAACACCCAATCATCACGTTTATGAATTTCCCGTTTATTCTTCACTGGCTTCTGCTGGAAGTATATTATCATGGAGGATCCCAATGAGTTCCATGGCATTAAGCTCAATGGACAGAATTAGTGCTTACATTACTTGATCTTTCTGCTGTTGACATTGCTGATTACTTCTGTCAGTGGTTTTAGGTATCATTCAGGAATTGTATTAGTACTAGGCATGCAGAGAATAATCAGTTGTGGTCCTGGAGCTAACAGATTAGCTATTAAAGGCTAGTTAGAGGCTATTCCCATTACTTTTTGATTCTTCTCTCCTGGCTTCTTTTTTTAAAATATGTTTTTATTGATTTTAGAGAGAGAGGAAGGGAGAGGGAGAGAGAGAGAAACATCCATGTGAGAGAGAAACATTGATTGGTTGCCTCCCGCATGCACCCCGACCCAGGCTAGAGCCCACAACCTGGGCATGTGCCCTGACTGGGAATTGTACCGGCGACCTTTTAGTGCACCAGACAATGCTCAACCAACTGAACCACACTGGCCAGGGCTTTTCTGGCTTCTCTGACAAGTATACTTCTGGATTTCCTTCTCTATCTTTGGCTACTCCGCAGACTCCATTGGCACTTCTTCTATCCCACGAGAATGATGCTTTCAGGGTTCTATCTTAGGCCTACAGCTCTAATAGTCTTTTGTGGAGGCTATTCTACATTTCTTTTCTAATTACAACCTTTGTGCTGATGACTCCAAATGTGTATCCTCAGCCCTGACCTTGATCCTCAAGCAGTAGATTTAGATAGCTCATCTATTTCTGGACATCTCCTGGATTACTCCTATTGAACTCCATACAAACCTGAACTCAACTTTTTCTCTCAGAAGCTAAAACTTGAGCTGTATTTTTGTCAGCTGGTATTGCCATTTTCCATCCAGTTTGCTAAGCTAGAAACCTGGGATTTGTCCTAGGTTTTTACTCTTGCTCCAACTAATTTTCGCTTCTAAATGTTTTTCAAATCAGTCCCTCCCTCTTCATCCTTACTACTATTGCCCTAGTTCAGGTCCTCTTCATGCCTCCCCTGAATATTTCAATACTCTTCTAACTGGTGTCTGTAGGTTGGTCTAGGCTTGATCTCCATAATCCACCTTCCTCATTCCTGCCAGCATGATCTTTATAGAATGCAAATCTGTGTTACTCCCCTATTTAAAAGCCAGCAATAACATATTGTATAATTCCATTTATATGAAACGTCCAGAATAGGCAAATCCATAGAAACTAAAAACAGATTAGTGGGCCCTGGCCGGTGTGGCTCAGTGGTTAGAGTGTCATCCCAGACCCTGAAGGGTCATGGATTCGATTCCCAATCAAGGGCACATACCTGAGTTGCAAGTTTGATCCCTGGCCCTGGTTGGAGCACATGCGGGAGACAACCAATCAATGTATCTCTCTCATATTAATGTTATTTTTTTTCTCTCCCCCTCCCTCCCTACCTTCCACTCTCTCTAAAAAATCAATGGAAAAAATATCCTTCAGTGAGGATTAACAAAATAAATAAATAAAATAAAAATAAAAATAGATTACTGGTTGCCAAAGGCTGAAGGGAGAGAGGACTAGGATAAGAGGTTTTCTTTTTGGAGGAAAAGTTCTGAAATTAGTGGTGATGGCTGAATACACTAAAAATCACTGAAATGAATACTTTGAGAGGGTGAATTTTATTTTATGTGAAAGTTTATCTCAAAAAAGCTGTTACTTTAAAAAGTACCATATGATTTCACTTATATGTGGAACCTAATGAACAAAAACAAAGTGAAGACAGGCTCACGGAAACAGAGAACAGAATGATAGCTGTCAGAGGGGAGGGGGTTGGGGGCTGGGTGAGAAGGGTGAAAGGATTAAGAAAAAAAAAGACTCCGGGACACAGACAACAGTATAGTGATTGCCAGAGGGAAGGGGAGGGCAGAGAGGCAGAAGGTAAAGGTGGAATAAATGGTGATGGAAGGAGACTTGACTTGAGGTGGTAAACACACAATATACTATACAGATTATGTATTGTAGAACTGTATACCTGAAACCTGTATAATTTTATTAACCAATGTCATCCCAATAAATTCAATTTAAAAATAGCATAAAATATAATAAATTTAAAAACCAACAATGGCTCTTCATTTCCTATCTATAAGATAAAATCCAAGTCAGATAGTATAATATGATCGGACTCCTCTCTTTTCAACTCTTATCCCCTACCACTTCAACCTCACAGTCTGTACACCATGCTGTTTATGCCTCTATGTCTTTATGAAATTCCGTGTCTGGTCTGGTCTGGAATATTACTTCCCTGCCCCCAAACACACACAATATTTACCAAGTAGAATTCAATTTTCAAGATTCACCTCAGGCACCATCTCTTCCAAGAAAAAAAGCCTTCTTGATACCCTCACATTGGGTTAAATATCCCTTTTCAAAACATCCTATGCATTTTCTTCTCTCTAATCTTAGCATTTGCCATATTATAATGAAAGTAGCTATACCTTCCTATAGCTATCGACAATAAACTACAGACTATAAGCTTTAGGAAAGCAGGGATGTCTTAAGAGAAAGGTGGCCTAGAAAATATTTCCTAGCCCCTTGGCTAGGGAAAAATTGCCTACTTCTGTCTGCGTGGTACCATAGAAATTATAACACATTTTTCACAAACTCAATTCAAATGCTTCTTCAAAACAATACTTTCAGATGGGCATATCTGAGATTTTTACATTTAAGATGAGAAAAGTGGAACTTTCAACTTATAAGTGGTAAAAACCCAGGTCTCCTGATTCTAAAGGGTTCCTACCTGATGGTTTTGGCCTCTCCAGAGGAATAGGCTAAAAAGCTTTCCCCTGGAGACAGCAACCA